ATTGTTTGTTTAATTTAGGTCAGGGGTGTCCAAAGTCGGTCCTCTATCTAGCTCCGGCATCCTGCATTTTTAGTCTCTCCCTAGTGGTAGTAACTACCTCCTCAGCAAGTCAGTGTTCTCCTTAGGCCTTCTAATGAGCCATCATTTGACGCAGGTGTGCTAAACCTGGGAGAAAACTAAAACATGCAGGATGTGGGCCCTCATTTTTTGATTTATTTTACTCATTTTTTTATTTATTTCACCCATTTATTTATTTATTTAATTTTGGCTAAAACGGCTCTCCATAATTATTAAATTATATTTAACAAATGTGCATTTAGTGAATATTTGCAGTAATACTTTGACAATAGTTGTAATCTTTTTTTAAATTGTGCATTTTTCTTTCTTTTAGCTGATCATTAGGGTGTGAAAAAGTGTGTGTGTGTGTGTGTGTGTGTGTGTGTGTGTGTGTGTGTGTGTGTGTGTGTGTGTGTGTGTGTGTGTGTGTGTGTTATGAGGCGTTATGAGATTTTTTTCTTCTTTCTGCTCCTTTTCATTTAATTATATTGTGTTTGTGTTGTTATGAAAATTGTTTTGTTTTTTATGAAATGAAAGAAATAATAATAATAACAACAAGTCAAAGAAAAACATTAGTAAAGTAATAAAAATGATAAATTACGCACTTTTTTGTTGTGTCCTGATGCCTCACAGTAATCCAGGCAGAAAAAGGAAAATATATGCAAGTCCCCTGGACGGGTTCTTTTGTAATTGTTTTTGTAATTTTTCACTAAAATACAGTTTAAACGTTTAAAAATACTTTTAAAATAAATAGGCAACTGTTTAAAACAAACAATGAATAAAATAAAAACCTTCACTGACTTTAAAAAGAGATTTACAAGTATTTAAACATTTTTTTAAATGTTTTTAATCATTTCCGGTCTTCCGTCGAAATGTGTCCGGCAACGTCCTTCGCTGACGTAAACCCCCCGGATCAACGTTCCGCCTGTCAACAGTTCCACAGCCGCTGCTTCAAAGCTTCTTCCCGTAGTTTGGGTGCCATGAGTTCCGATAACAGCGACGGAAATCTGTCCGTGCCTTTACGGAATGTGCTGAACTCCATTCAGTGTATCAGAGACCGAGTCAGAGGTAAAAACAAAAAAATGACGCATTTTATGGGCCTGAAATAAAAATATTAGCCGCTACATGCTAACAAGCTAGAGATAACTTTAGCTTCATAACCCGGTGTTTAAAAAACATTTTGTGACAACGTCATGGACAGAAGTATGAAAATATAAAATAATATGTCTCTGGTCAACTTAATGTTTAAGAAAACATCACTATATTTTTCTTTTCTTTTTTTTTAGTTTGTCTTTAGTCCAGTTTTGTTTGTGAACTACGACAAATGCCAAATTAGGCAAAAAATGATAACTTATCGTGTATTTTTATTTATTTAATGTTTGTTTTTATCTATAAAATGTCACAAACAAAGAAAATCTTATTTTGACAAAGCAAGCTTTAAGTGAAAGGAAGTGTATAATAAAACAGGCATTATTTAATTTGATTGGTTTGTCTAAACTTTACCTCAGTTTTGGAACATTTAATGTTTTGTTTTTCCTGTAGATGGAGAATCAAATGAATCACAGGGAACATTCAACCTCTCAAACTTCTGGGACACTTTGAGTTGAGTATTTTTGGAGCCACATTTAACTCTGAGGGAACAGAGTGAAAGAGATTTTTTATTTCATCAGTGTCTGTATTTTTATATAGTTTTACAAAACGTGTGTTTAGGATTTGCAGCAAGCACCAAACTCTTTTTTTGTGTGCCTAAAAACCTAAAATAACAGTAACTTTCTATATGAAGTACCAAGTGAAATGATTGGGTTATCACTGCACAGAATCTATCATTTTTGTATTTACATAGTTTTTTTCTGCTTAAGCTTTCATTTAAATAAAGACTTTTGTTTATAAAATGACAACCCAGTCCTGATCTTATTGTAAACAATTTGACATTAACATTCTTTGAAATGAAGTTACCGTTACCATTATAAATCCACTGATTCAGTTACAATTAACTGCTGTTTGTTCTCAGACCAGGCGGTGAAGGCAGTCTCTCAGGAAGCCACTAAACTCAGCCTGGCTTTCTCCAGACCCCCTCTGCCATCTGTACAGGTTTGTTTCTCTTGTTATTGTGAATGAACCTGGAATCAAACTCATCTTAATATTTTTCGTTGAAGCTAGGCTCATAAAAAAGTCCATAAACTTAAAGAGAAAGCAAAACGTCTATTAATGCAGTTTATTAGGCGTAATAAATGTTAATAATCTTATTCTGTGTTCATGAAGTGGTTTAAAAACTGAGCATAAAAGCAAGCTATGAAGTTACTTTACCAGATACAGTAAATGTCAGTTAACTCTTCTCTGTGTCGCTGGCTGTCATATAAACTTTAAAAACGTGTTTTAGGATGGAGAAAAGCTGTCAGAGTCCATCTTGAAGGGTGTCCTGACTCTGTCCACAGTGTATTACTGGCTGCCAAAGAGTCAAGGTAAATGTTAATGATTTATGCCCTCCTGGGTTGTCTGGCCTCATCTTGTCAAGCATTTATTTATGCAGTTTTTGCTCAGGAAACCGCCTCAGTAACGCTTTTTGTTTTGGGAATCAGCTGCTTGGGATAGTTTCTGTGTGTGACATGACTAAAGCTCAATCTGGTGTTTTGTGTCCTCTCCACGTCTCAGGGGTGACTCTGCGCCGACAGGTCAGAGACGCCACGGTCGAGGTCCTGGAGGGGGTCATCCAACTGCTGGAGGTCATACTGAGTTCACCCCGGCAGAGGTGCACACATCACACAAACACACAATGTAGCTGATAGTCTAACTAAACAAACAGAGTGGACTCTGAGGGGCTGCGGGAATCTTTGCCTCGTGGGGGAACTCCAAGACGTTCCCAGGCCAGCCGAGAGACATAGTCCCTCCAGCGTGTCCTGGGTCTTCCTCGGGACCTCCTCCCGGTGGGACGTGCCCGGAACACCTCACCAGGGAGGCGTCCAGGAGGCATCCTTACCAGATGCCCGAGCCACCTCAWCTGGCTCCTCTCGACGTGGAGGAGCAGCGGCTCTACTCTGAGTCCCTCCCGGATGACCGAGCTTCTCACCCTATCTCTAAGGGAGAGTCCAGCCACCCTGCGGAGGAAACCCATTTCGGCCGCTTGTATCCGGGACCTCGTTCTTTCGGTCATGACCCAAAGCTCATGACCATAGATGAGGGTAGGAACGTAGATCGACCGGTAAATCGAGAGCTTCGCTTTCTGACTCAGCTCTCTCTTCACCACGACGGACCGGTACAGCGCCCGCTTTTCAGCAGACGCTGCGCCAATCCGCCTGTCGATCTCCCGCTCCCTTCTTCCCCCATTCGTGAACAAGATCCCCAGATACTTAAACTCCTCCACTTGAGGCAGGACGACCCCCCCTGACCCGGAGAAGGCACTCTGCCCTTTTCCGGCTCAAGACTATGGCCTCGGATTTGCACGGACTTCAAACTTTATAAAAGTAATGTTAAACCAGATGTAATAATGAATAATTATTGCCATAATGTGCGCATTTAGAGAATGTCTTGTGACCAGGAAGTGTGTGACTGCACCATGAAACATATTTTTCCCATTTCCTCAAACACACCACATTGTCGGTAGCTTGTAAACAGATCGATGAAGATCGAGGAAGAGGAGTGAAGCGGTGGACTTCAGACTCGGAGGTTGTTTGTTTGTTCATTTTTTATTATTTAAATGAGGCCAGATCAAGTCGAGAGCTCTTTGTGCGCCCCTCTATCCACCTCTTGCCAAACTTTGGGGAGAAAAGAATGCGCAGAGCGTGTTTGTGACCGCTGTGTGTGGTCCTCACAAAGATAGGAAGATTGCCTTGGCGGAGGTTTGCGCTCTTCGAGTGCTTCTAGTTTTTATTTTATACTCCAAAAACAGGAAAACAGACTGTCTTTTTGTTTTTGCCATACCGGAAATAATTTTTTTTTCATTTTTTTTAATTTAAAGAAGCTTTCCCATCCGCTTAGTGTAAAGTACAGTGGAGCTGTTTGTTGTTTAACCTAACAGCAAATCTCGTGTCTGAGAGAGGACATGACTGCAGACAAACTTGGTCAAATTTTTCAGTTTAAAACTAGATGTGCATCAGAGTTTACTCAAGCCACGTTCTGACCAAAATCTACTGATGCTCCTCGCAGAGAACCCTCCTGTCCTCTCCATAACCATGTGAAATAGCCACAGAGATTGCTGTAGAAGACAATCCATTTTACAATTTCTTCAGAATTCGGTTGTAAAGCCAACCTAATATTAAAATATGCGAACTTACCAGAGCAAATAAAAAATTAAAATGAGCAGAGCGCCTGGTATTCTCATGCCTTGAGTTGCCATGATAATCATGTTAAACCTCCTGTTTGGCACAAATGGAAAGACGGTCTGTTTTCTGTTTTTGGTATAGAAAATAAAAAAAGGAAAACAATCCGTTTTTCCATTTTTGCAATATCTGTTTTTTGTTTTTCATTATTTGTTTTTTTAAAAAAAAACTGAATGACCCAAAAGTACACTAATCACTAGAGTTGGGCAAAATCGTATTGTGTGCAATTAATCGTCAGAAAGACTTTAATCGATTTATGTTTTGGCACTTGACAATTAATACAATTAATGCCACCAGGCAGACTGACTTGGGATTTCTCCGGTCGGTTCCCTTGATGCTCCTCTCCGCTTCAAATATGACGAACGTTTTTAAAAATATTCTGTAATTTATCATAACTCCGGTTTTACTTGGTCTATCAACACAATTTAAAAGTTGACGTTTAACCTGAAGTTTGTACTTTTGACACAGTTTGGAACAGAATTTTATGGAGAGCAAATCTTTCCCCGTAGAGTGATTTAAATTGGTCATGTGACGAGGACTGTCCAGGGACTCCAGGGGATTAATTGTCATATTAATCGTTAACGGCTAAATGCCACAGTTAATCATGATTATTATTTTTTGCCAATATCTCCCAACCCTAATTAGCACGCCTCCTGGATGCCTGTCTTTGGAGGTTTTCTAGACATGTCTCTCTGGGAAGAGACCCCGGGACAGACCCAGAACTACCTGCAGAGATTGTGATCTTCTCTGGTCTGGGAAGGACTGGGGAGTCAGTGACGTGTGTCACTGAGGAGCTGAAGGTCCGGGTTTCTCTCCTGGACCTGGACCACAGATCAGCAGTTAAAGATGGAGCTTTAGGAAATATTAGAAAGAAAACTATTTATATTTCTTGTTAAAATGTAACACCTAAATTACTTGTGGGGTTCAGAGATGATACGTTGTCTCAGGGCACTGTTCATAAAAAGAAGAAACTAAAGAAGAAACCAGCAGGCTGTGTTGAATCACTTCATCACAGTCTCCCATCCTGAGCAAACGGTGGAGAGGAAAAACTCCCTGCTAATCAGGAAGAAACCTCCAGCAGAACCAGGCTCAGGACAGGAGACCATCTGCCTCGACCGGCTGCAGAAGCAGAAGCTTCTGGATAAAAGCAAAAGTTTCTCATAAAGATCTAAAACCATCAGTCAGGACTCTTAGATTACAGAATGAGTAACGTTCTTCTGTTTTTAATTAATTTAATAGTTGATTGTCCTCATGTGTTGGTTTTATGGGTCTTCATCCTTTTCCAGTCTGACCCAGGAGCAGCTCACATCAACCGGAGGAGTGTGGTCCGCCTGCGACCGGTTCGTCCAGCTACCACAAGGTCTAACAGTCAGACACAGTAAAATGCACTTTTACTGTGTTCATCCTGCCACATGATAATCATGAATCCTGTTGGTTATTAATATAATGGCACTCTGGGGGGTTAAAATCAGGTTAATAATGAAACTTGTGTATTTGACAGATAATAAGGCAGCTCTGCTGGTGGTTCTGACAGCTCAGATCGGAGTTGTAAAAGACGCTATAGAAGAAATTAATCAGGTAAACACTCAGATCTCTGGGAATCCTGGCATTGATTTAACAAATGCAGATTTTTGTTGGGGTGAATAATTTCTACCTGTACACAGGCCGTATCTGAGGCCCAGGACCCTTTCAGCGACGTCCTCGATGACGACCAGGATGAAGACAACCCTCGAGGCAACCGGGACACCTACTGGTCGGAGAGGGACCGGCGCGTGATTGATCCGTGTCACGGCTTGATGAAAGCAGCCGCGGCGTGTCTGAGGAAACTCGCGTCGGCCGTCAGAGCCAACGGTGACGTGGGCGCGCCTCAGAGCGTGGCCCAGCTCGACGACCTGGCAGACGTCAGCGTGGAGATCAGCCCCGGGTAAACGGCCTTCTGTTTCATTTAAAGGGATCCACGATTAGTTGTAACATTAGACTTTATTTGATAAACAATTATTTTAACTGTAAAATAAAGACTGTAAAAATACTGTAGGATGTTTAGTTTTGTAAATTTTTAAAATATATTTTAACACGGACAGAGCCATTTTATTTACACACAAAGCATTCTGGGTAAATGATGACGTGGATAGGTCCTCGGTGCGAGGCTGCTAGCGAGCTATATCCACCCTGAAGGTTAATCTTGGACATTAGAAATATTGGGCCTCATGCAAGAACATGTTCGTATTCTTCTCCTAAATTTCTCTTACTT